ATTTATATATATATATATATATATACTTTGGAACGCGCGTTCGGTCACGCGAAACATTCGTATTATGAATAAATTCATGAGAACCCGAAGAAAGAGAATACCCACTCCTTGCGTATACATAATATGCACACGGCGTCCTGCATGTTACACTATACGTTTCACGGGAGCTTCTTTCTTCAATATTTATTAAGGTTTGGAAGACAAGATTGTACATCTTACACTTGCGCGAGCAACCGAGGGAATAATCGCGCGAGTATTTTTTTAACTTTATTTATAATAAATAGCCACTCGGTTCGCGTAAGTTTTGGACGCGAGTCAAGAGTGTTGTACGCGAGTTTGCCGGCCGGTATTCGATAAATAAAGAATCTCATCTTGAATCCATTATTTCTCAAGCCCCATTCAGAAAAGTTGAGCGCGCGCCTCGATTAAAATAATATACGTATGCGGTCAGAGTTGAACAATTTTTTCGAATTTTTTACTCGTTTTCCCGTCGAATCTGTGACTGCGTGGTGCGAAAAAGCACCTTATACACTTTTAAACAAGGTTCGATCGAGCTTGCAGCTTTGTATCTGTACTTCAAAGATAATATGTACAAGGTGTGTGTTTTCTCCAAGTCTCGTGAGCATCTCAAGCGTGCAAAATGGTACAACGAATACTCGGGCCGAAGGTGTGTTTACGTTGCTCATGGTTTTCGACGTGTGCCATTATACTCCAAAATCTCGATTCTCATTTTTCCTTTACTTACATATATACATCATCCAAAGAGCAGAAATATATTGTAGAAAAAACAGATGTCGCGTGTGTAAGCACAGATGTTCATTGCCGTGCACGGCGGTGTGTAGGTCGCGGCACAAAAGTCTCATAGATCTGACCTCCATCGCAAGCGCATCCGAGCACCTACTTATAGACTCATGAATTTATTGTATTTTTCTGTAGCAAAGTATACATACATATGTGTTTAACGATCGGGCGAGTACCATCAATGACGACGAGACCGGGTTAACGTACAAATATACCTTTTTCAGTTATTACTACACACCTGTATAGGTGCAGCTGGCCTTATGTCTTTTCTTTCAAATACTTGGAAAAAAGTAAACAAAGTGGACCATATAATAGATTCATTCCGACCGATACCCATTCATCGCGAAAATGTTACCGATCACCGGTACGGGGGAGGGGGGGGGGCACAATTCCCCACAACAATATAATATAAATAACGCAAGACACGTGGCTTGGAAGTGTGCCATCGAGAGCCGTTTCGAGAGCAAGACTCTCCAGTGCGGCTATATATATACATGTACAATATGCAAGCGGGATGGAGTTTAGTCCGGCACTAAAAGCTCCCGAGCGTTAGCCCGAATGACTTTGATTTCAGGCCGCGGATACACGGAAAAACGATTTAGCCGCCGCCGCCGCTCGTTTGATTGCCGATCCCCGATGCCCCGTATTCTCGTATGGGTCTCTCTACTCACACCTCACGTGCATTAAGGCTCTCTTTCTTACGCCCGTGTATTTATAGAGCCCGTCGAGTGCAAGCGCGTGCTGGTGCGATGATAGGTGTATTCATGCATCAAAAAGAAAAATCTCGCTCTCTGTTTTCGTATCGCAGCTGCTTATGTCAAACACCGCGAGATATGCTCTCCATGTATATCGCATGCTCTCTTATCTCTCCGGGCCGACACTTTTCTTCCATCGATGCGCCTCTCTTGTCTTCTCGCGGATGAAAAATCACCCACGACCCGAGGCCAATGTCTCTCCTCGCTCATTGTACACACAGCTCCTCCTATAATTCTCAAAACACAAAGCTCGTACGCGCATAATTTATGCAAATGTATTCCTTTCTTTGTTTCTTCGCGAGTAACATGCGTTTATATATACATATAGTTACTGGGAATAACACCGTACATAGAGAAGATAAATCTTGTACGAGAAGGGGCTCTTGTTTTTGCACGGATATAGGTGGTGCGTTGCGTTGAAAGTACCCCGCTCTCTCGTTTTATGTAATACATGCATATATAATTGTACCGCGCAGAGATGAGGATAAGTGCCGATTCAGGGGAGTCAATTGAAATCGTCGAAAATGGGTGTAATAACGCGCGTCTGGGGCAAATATCACGTGCATCTGTATACATAACGAGGTGAAATAGCCCTGGGTCGAACGAACCGCATAAATAACAGTACTTTGAGCTCGTCGACGGATTCATCTCTGTCCGACCATCCGATGCGCATCGTAAAAATATATGCAGTTTGAAAATGAGCAGTGGTAAGTACATGTAATGTATATATAATAACCCCATGACGAGGAGGAGTGCACAATCGCAGCGAACACACATCGGTACAGTTATGTCGGGATGTATACCTATATTGTGTGTCGTAATGTAACGTGATGTTTCTACCGCGGGATATACACTATATTTATAATATCTGGCTTGATTGACTTGATTTCCGAATTAATGCGATAGACATTACAGGCACACTTCTTAACTCTTCGCGACGAGGAGGACACAATACATATAGAATAGGATACAACGCGATACGTGTACCCATATATATTATATGTGTGTTTGAGCGTTAATTCGATCGGATTGGCCTTTCCGACACTGCGCGTCGTCGTCGCCGTACCTATACATCGCTGAAATATTTAGCAAAAATTTTCAATGCATTGTTTTTTTTTTTTTTTTTTTTTGAGGGGGGGGGAATAAAAACACCGATTTTTTATATGTATCGTGTGTATGTGTATAACATGTGTAACGTGGATCTTTTGATGCTTGCAGATGAGCGCTCAAACGTCCAAGGAGATAACGTAAAGAGGAGGCTCGCCCGGACGAGGGTAGAGCGCGCGCGGCTATTCCGTCATAATGCCCCTTGCACCGTAGCTCGCCGCTGCTACTGCTGCTACTGCTGCTGCTCTCTGCCATGCTGGTCACGCAGTCGCCCTGCTCCATGGACAATAACAGCGCGCCGTCGAACATGAGATCGTCGGTGACTGTTGCAGGCCCCGGTAGTGGAGGTGGTGGTGGTGGTGGCGGTAGTGGTGGTGGCGGTAGAGCTGGAGGTGGCGCCGGTGGTGGTGGTCGCAACAACAACAACAACAACGCGAACAACAACAGCAACAACAATAATAATAATAATAATAACAACAACAACAACACTACGGCCGACGAGGAGAGCAACAACGTCGTCGACATTGACGAGGTTTTTCCGCCACACGTGGACACGAGCAACATCGTCGTGCAGCCGGAATCCCCGACCAGCAAGAAGCAGACCCTCAAGACGTTCAAGGAGATCAGTGCCCTGCTCCAGGCGGAGAGGCTCAGGGATGTCAAGATCGTGCTCAGGGAGAACGCCTGGCCGTTCAACAACAACATAAGGAGCCAACTCTGGCCGGCGCTCATAGCACAGCACAGCAAGGGCAACAATACCATGGACGGTTACTACTGGGACATGGTCAGCCAGGTCTTGGGCACTACGGGTAGGAAGCTTTTTTTCCTCTTCTTCCTTATACTACTTCTGTTGTTTGTGATTTGTTGAAATAAAAATTTTCTTTTTTTTTTTTTTTTTCTCTTCTCGCAGAACTGCCGGAGCAACCGATAATGCTGCCTCCGTTTGTTGACAGTACGCATCTCTTGGCGTATAATCTCACTCGCAAGGGTCGAATGGTCGTCGACAGAATCGTCACGGTCCTGGGCTACGCTTGCCCGGACATTACGTACAGCCCCACGCTTTACCCCGTGACTGCGATTCTTCTACATTTCATGCCAGGTTTGTTCCCTCGTATATGAGCGTTGATCCTCGTTACTTCAATTACAGGCCATCCGCGTGTCAAAGTTGCCTGATATTCACTGTTTAAACGTAGAATGGTTTTTTTTTTTTTTTTTTTTTTTTTCTTTCGAGTCCTTGATGTTACAGAGGAACAATGCTACCACTGCATACAGAGTTTAGTGGCGTCAAAGAAGAAAATGTTTATCACGCAAACAAAGCTTCTTTACGAAGTGACGTGGAAAACGGTAGAACAAATCACGAGAAAGTATGTGGTACGTATTTGACTCGTTGGTGTTTGGCTGTACCGTAGTGCTTGAAGGAGATGAGTAGTTTTAATAGAACTTTTATTTTTCGCGATAGAAAAATGGTGCAATTCATTTGGCCAGACACTGTTCGGTGGCGAGGTCAGAAAGAATCTACCAAGACTGGGTTTGGTGGATTCTGCAAGCACTTCCGTTTCAACATCTAGTCAGAGTTATGGACTGTTTTTTACATGAAGGCATTAAGGTAGACAGAGGAAAAAGAAAAATCAATTTTCACCCACAACTTTGTTTACTGATGTTTTTTTCATTTCATACTCAGGTCTTCTATAGGGTAGCTATGGCTATAGTTTTATTATTCTATAAATATTCGTCACCGCAAAATTCTGAGTGGATGGCTGAAATCACCAAACATGGCATAGACAATACCTTCATAAAATTTTGCAGTACGATACCGGTAATTAAAACACATTTTCCTGTGATAATTTTCATAATCATGAAGTTCATACGTTACACAATTTTTTTTTTTTTTTTTTTTTTTGCTACATATAGGTGACACCGGCAAAGTTTTTACGAACTGCATTTGGTATCCGCAACTTGAGTTCGGCTTACATATCAAGAGTATTCCTAAGCATCGAAATGAACTTGAAGAGTCGAAACGTAGTGTCACAGAGTAAAATGGTCAAGTCCCGATCTACAGATACATTACCAACAAGTCAATCACAGATGAACATTCAAATGATGTCCCACACCCTCACGATAAGAGAGGTAAGTGATTTCATTGTAGTTGTAATACTGAATTTTTTTTTTTTCACTATTATAATTTGTATTATATTGTTACTTCAGTAAAAATATTCAAGTACTAACGTAGAAAAGTATATACATTGTTTAAATTTAAGTTGGAAATATGATTTTTTTTTTTTTGAATGTTTTTAACTTGCAATTTACATTTTATACCTTACTTCTTTCTTATTTATTCCTTATTCTCTATTCTATTTTCTCTTTTTTTTTCTAAAAAAAAATAAAAAATAAAAATAATAACAATGGTGCAGGGTTAATATGACTTAAAATGAAAGTGTCATATTTTAACAAACTTGGTTTTTGTGTAAGATCTATGGACGCTTGTTACCTCATTTTCTATGTGTATTACTTACACGTCGTACCTATAAATACAACTATTGTATTATCGTTGAACAACGTCATCAACTATTTTATCATTCGTAAATCGATAAAGAGACAAGTTAGAGGGTTCCTTATTTAAATAAAAACTTTGTTTTAAAATTAGTTGAAATCGACCGAAAACTGCAAAAGATTGTTTTCAATGATTCACTTTGTTTTCAGAAAGAATGTGAAGACACGTACAAAGACAGGGTATTGTATTATTTATCTTTTTGGACAATGTGCCGTTCGTTTCATGTGCTACCTTCCATTTTTTTTTTCTCTGAATTGTCTGCCCTTCCTTCATCAAAAAATAAAAAAAAAATACAACTTACAACTCGAGTTTTACGCTCATCAAACATCTGTTTCTTTCCTTCTCATTCATCGCGACACTGTATAGCGTCGTCTCTCGGCTTTAATCGCTGTTATACCATTTGAATGCTACACATGCAACCGCTGCTCTCATGTTTTACTTTAATGTTTATTCTCAGCGAGTGGTGATAACACTTAATAAATTTATTGCAGTGTTTTTACCTTTTTTTTTTCTGTGTGTACCATTAATCATGTGTTCTTGAACAAAAAAAATTTCCCTAAAAACATGTGATTTACCCCGAGTTTAGTTTTAACACACCTAATTCATAACTATAGCAGATTTACTTGACACTCTCGCAAAAAAAAAAAAAAAAAAAAAAAAAATGGATTCTCGTGCTTTGATTAATAATTATGAAAGAACCTCAAGACGATCAGCCGAATTAAATTTAAAAAAATTACTCTTCAATACCGTGATACCGCACGTTTCACTTGTTTTACGTAATCAATTGACACTCGAGTGATTCTCCTCTTTCACATCTTGATCTCCTGCCTGCCGAAGAAAATAGAAGCTCGTAAGGTTCATGAAACTTTTATCGCCCGCTCGTACTGGCTCTTCTAGCCAAGATAAAAAAAAAACATCAACGCCCACGAGTGCTGAACTCTCTTTTAATGTACCAAACGAGCTCGCGAGTCAATATCCAAAAGCTCACTTGTCGGAGGGGGAACTCACCGTTTCCGCGGCCACTGCACCTATCCTTGATACACGTACGACTATATACAACCATTATAATGCCTACGAATTATATATACGTACTCGACGACGATATGTTTGCTCGGGATAAGCCGTATACTTGTGTATACACTCTTTATTTACAGACATGTTCTATGTACATTGTGCACTTGCAGCGTCAACGAGACGCGACGCTCTGTAACTATATACATGCTTTGCTGGCGCATCTAAATTTTTCACGTTTCCATAAAAACACACGACACCCTCTACACGACTATCGAACCACGAATTCTAACGAACTTGTCCATCATTTCTCAATCTCTGTTGCGAGGCACATGTGAATTGTCCATTGTTACCGATGATTGTCGTTTGTGCATCATCACCCATCAGCTATATTAACATATTCTATCAACCTCCTGTCAGTTGAGTATTTAATGCAGGAAGGAGCAAAATACGAGTCTCTAAAATTGATGCCGCAGCACCTGTATATCACATATATTTATACTCCATGCTCGGTCCATGTCTTTGAAATTTTAGTCTCGTGGAAAAAAAAAAAAGAAAATAAAACAATCAGGAAACAAAAAGCGTCTGAAATGAAGCGATCATGCATTTGTTATGGAATTTTTTTGCTCGTCGCATGCTCTATGAAAAAGGCTTGGTACAAGCTTGCAGTTATTCGGGCCCTACACTGTCTTGTGGTTTTTTTTTTTTCCCCTCCATATAGTTTTCATGTACGACACTAACAAAAGGAAAATCGAATGAATTAACTCGAATCTTAACGATTGATTGGCTGCATGAGTCTGCTTATCGGTGCCTGCGACTTCTAGATGAAAATCCTTCCCAACTCCCAGCTGCCGCAGTGCACCTCGTGCACTTGCATCGAATGAAAGTTTTGCGCCTATACTTGTAACAATCTCGGGATTTTTCAATGGAAGTCCGGTGCGTTAGGGCATGAAATTAAGACGAAGAGCAAAAGTTGTTTGTTCACCCGTCTATAGTGTAGTGGGAGAGAAAAGCACGAGGAGAGCAACGAGCGTACCTATATACGCGCGCGGTTTTCTCTTTCTCCCGCCGCGGGGGCAAAAAGTATTCGTAAACAAGCCGCGCGTCTATTTTCAATCGCGACGAGAATGAGCCGCTGATGCACGAAACTCGTGTGGCTCTCCCTCTCTCTCCCTCCCGTGTGTACATATTATTTTATGAGCAAAGGCACATCGGAAAATCTTGAAGAACGATGCCGATGGTGTACCAAAACGAATGATTATTTTCTTTTTAAGCGCATATATATAGTACGATGGATGCTCCACACACTGTTATGTTTATCTGTAGAAATCAGTTGTGACTGATAAAGAGTAAAAAAAAAAAGCCCTAAAAAGTTTGTCACGTTACGTTTTTGTGTACATATAAAATGAAGTAGGATAGAAAAAGACAATGGGAGTAGGGTGTCTCGAACTTTTAGTTACTAAGTATAATTAAATTTTTTTTTTTTTTTTTTTTTTTTCTCATCAACAAAAAATGTTTGATGGATCGTATAAAAAGTGAAAATAAGTACCCTGCGCTGCATGCAAACGAGCGAAACGGTGTACGTGTGGTTGTTTGTATACTTATGCTCGTTATGCTTATACGCATATATGTATGTACACATGTATAGATAACACGTGTACGTGCGTCAGTACGAAAATAGATTTTACACAAAGCAAAACATATATAAGTTATTGAAGGCACATGAACGCGTTGGGCTCTCTTATATTGTTTTCTTTTTGTTTTTTCCCACCACCCCCTCCTCCTCCTCGTTTTTCTTTCTTTAATTGTTTTCTCAACAAGTTTTTGTTTGCTCTCCTCGACTCGTTGTTATGTACCACATTTTTGTTCTGTCATATTTTCGATAAGACTTTGTTTTCCAAAGGAAGTTGTAAAAAGCGCCTTTATCGGCCGTACATACGCATGTGCTAGTAGATTTAATTAATGCCAGCGCTGATTATACCACGACGGGGAAATCTGTTTGCAAACAGTCGGTGCCTCTTCGCGATGCTGCGTTTTGTCTCACATTTTTCAAATTTATTTATTATTTTTTTTTTTTCTCTCTCTAGAGCGATGAGCTCCGAAGATTACGGTAACGGAGCGTTTGTTTACGAAAAATCGACAGGCGCGAAAAGTTTTTTTCGCAAACCAAGAGATAACGATGCTCGATGAATCGGGTTTATATACGAGGCCATGTGTGTGGATTTTTTAAAATTTCGGCCTCCGATTCGTGTGTATACTTACACGTAATATTTAACGCGAATCCGTAAAAATTTTTCGACCATGGGAGCACCGGGGACGTGCTTCAGTTTCGCGCGCATTCCTTCGAGTTCGTTACCCTCCTTCGTCCGAGAGTAACTCGCACATACACGGGCGCGTGCGTGCCAAGTAATTTGTGCTTTAATTAAAGAAATTTTTTTTTTCCTTACGAACATTTTTGCTCGTCTTAGTGCCCATACATGAATCGAAGTAAACGACGAGTTTCGACATTTGCGGCCTCGTTTGGATGTGGTTATATTGTAGAATTTTTTATGTTTTTTTTTTCATGCACACTAAGTCGATGCTTGTAACACATGTGTACCCAAAATATATATTTTTTTTACAAAAAATGATAAATAATAATAAATAAATAAATGATTTATTGAAAAAAAAAACAAAGCATAATCAAATACATGTATTGATAATAATTGGTGTTGGACCAAGAATTTTCACAAGTTCCGTATGTTGTCTTTGTGTTTGCGCTGCCTAACCATCACTCGTCGGCCTCTGCCCCGTCATAATCTCTCTGTCGCCGTGTGGAATTTTAAAACTCACCACGCAACGCACCGACCTGATGACGACGATGATCATGTTGTGCATGTGTAAACGAAATATGAAAAAAAAAAAAAAAAAATTATTTCAAACAAAAAAAAAATATATGACAAACAATAATTATTAAACAAAGGGAGCGCACAGTCCTGGACCACGCGCCCCCTCGATGGGCATTTACCCGATACAGAGTATACGCTCTCAGATACTTGACCCACCCGACGTAAGTATACCTTTTGGACTGGCTATAGACAAACTTGCCCTTTTTTTATTTTCTCTCTGTCTTTTGATGTTGATGTGTATACAAGATTTTGTCGTATATACATACCTTGTGTAGAGACTTTTCGTTCTTAATTTTGCTACGATGATCATACAATTACATACGCACATGTACGTACATATATATATATTATTATTATTACGTTGGTAGGTGACATTTTATTTGCGTTATGTCTGTAGCATGTATTTAATTTATTCATTTATATTCATGTATAGATAAACAGTTGAAACTTCCCCATAGATTGTATTGTTCGTATGCACAAATGGATTTCGCAAGAGTTACAGTTGTTTAGCGAACCGCTTAAATAATTGCCATTTTTATTCGAGCGACAAACGTACCCCGTAGACACAGCCTCATGCAAATATATATCATCATTTTCGCTGTTGATACAATTTCGACGTATATATATACACGTGGTGTGTGCATATTGTAATGCCAATTTGTGCTATTCCGAAAAAATTTCACGTGTACATCAAAAGAGTTCAGGAGCAGGAGAGGCGCGGAAGATCATAGCTTTTCCTTGCATGCGCGACGTGTATGTGTGTGTATCTTTTTTTTTCTGCGTCTGGGATGTTTCACGGTTTGAAGAACCGTTTGATCTTTTTTTGCGTTTTACACGCGCCGAGAACCTTCAGTTATGGCGAAACTTTCTCCGAACCTCGCTTCCTTTGACTCTGGTTGGAGTAACGCCATTGCTTTTTAAATTTCACCCACGTCACCTTTGCACAATCACCCAATACAATAAAATATTGTCCTTCTTTTTTTGTGTACCGTCAACTCACTTGGCTTTGATTGTTTAATTTTTAAGCGAAACTGTTATGCCGCATGACCTTTTTTTTTTATCGTTGCTCACACTAATTATCTAATGTTTCACCGCAGAAATTAATACGCCTATGATTTTTCTAACGTGCACATTTAATGTTGTAGTTATTAATACTTGTGTAGATTTTTTTTTTTTCAACATAGGTACTGTAGTTGGAATATTATGTACTAAAAGTAAATTTCTTTTGTTTATGAATTTGTACATGTACCTAGTGTAATTTTATTTATTTATACACATTTACCTGTTCCGTAGGTATAGTTTTATAAACTTGATGAATTAACATTTTGTTATCAAAACATAAAACAGGCTGCCATAATAAATAATGAAAAGCGCAGTATTTTTATGTACCGTATATACACACGAAGAAATGAAAGAAAATAATAGTGAAATGTCGCGTAACAAACCGGTACTTTGATTTTCCCGCAAAAAAGCCGACTGAAGTTTTTGCTTGTTTTGCACAGCTTTGAGATTTCTTTCTGTTTGTCAGATAATTAATTACGGCAGGCTCGGTAATATTTTCTTTTTTGCATTTAACGAGTTCCCGCCTGATGCTGCGACATGTGCTGTGCACCAAAAATAATAGCCAAACGCACCCGCGAAAACCGTCGGCTTTCAATTTGTACCCATAAGCTTAAAAAAAAAAAAAAAAAAAAAAAATCAATCAATAAACATCTCTGTATAACACAATTGTGTGTGTGTGTGTTGGACGCGCGCTTGTCTTGGGCAGTTGTTTACGCTCTGGTCGTGGCTACCCGTGCGGATAACGATGTACCAGCCGATATTGCTCTACACGACCGAGGAGCACGGCTGCTCGCTCACGACTTTCTACGTCCGGGTCGAAAAGTACGAGCCGACCCTCCTCATGATCAAGACCTGCAACAACGAGGTGAGTGCGTTTTGTTATATATACGTACTAAATTTTCATCCATTAGGTGTACCTATTATGTACAGGCAAATTGGCATTGTTGGCTCGGGTTCCACGTTTCGTATACCCATCAAGGGGGAAGACACAATCGTTAATTAAATAGTTAAAAGAGATCGTGACCTTTTTTTTTTGACCTTGAAGCCGGGATAAACTGTTGAGTCTGCGATAGTCATTGATTATAAGTACACCGAGTGTTTGTTGATGTGTGGTCATTGTTGGGCGTTACAGGTATTCGGAGCGTACTGCTCGACGAGGTGGTGCGAGAGAAACATGAAGGACGACAAGGGCCAGAGACAGGCGTACTTCGGGACGGGTGAGACCTTCCTGTTCAGCTTGTACCCGGAGCGAGCCAAGTACCCTTGGGTCGGCATGGACTCGTCGCACAACGATTCCCGGGTCCACCACTCGGCGGAGCTGTTTATGGCTGCCGACTCGAAAATGATCACCATCGGTGGCGGGTATGCTTTTGCACTTGCTCCTCCTACCTTATATACCCCCCCCCCCCCTAATTGGTTTTTTCTTTCAACGGTTTGTTTCGATGGGCGCAGGGACGGCCAGGCCATTTGGATGGACGAGAACATTAGGTACGGCAAGACCGACCGCTGCTCGACCTTCAACAATCCGCCCCTATGCGCCAGCGGTGACTTTGAGATACGCGTCCTCGAGGTTTACGGTTTCCACGGGGCGTAAACGAGAAGAAAAAGACGATGATAATGAGCCAAAAGCGACGACGACGCTTTGCAAAGTATTTTCGATTTCCCTACTGCCATTTACGCTCTCTCTCTCTCTCCCTCCCTCTGTCTTTCTATCTCTTTCTCGTGTATCCTCGTTATCTTCTCTTAGGGCCCATTTCATTGCCATCCAACAATCACGCATCATCCCCGTCGTCGTCGTCGTTGTTCAACGAATCACGTGTTTTCCTGTCCCTTCGAGGCTGCGTTCAATGCTTGCGCTTCTTTTGAGAATACCGACCTTATGGTTAATAATATTATACACATATATTTAATACATACGTATATAAACTTGTACATGTGAACGTGTGTGTGTGTGTGTGTGTGTATGTACTCGTGACTGTCTTGAATCAACCCTCGTTGCAAATCGCACGCAAACCCAAACGTGTTATGTTATTATTATCGTGCATACGTAAATTGTTGGTGAAACGAGAAAGCACGCGGACAGCCCTATTTTAACCTCGTCCTCCTTTCCTTCTCCTCCTGTATGTGTTATATATGTTGTTTCTATCTTGCCACGAGGAAGCTTTATTACGTAAGTTCGAACCGATGTATAGTTGTTATGCATGTATCAACACGTAGATATACATTATTATTATTAAAATTGCGGAATCCGTTTTTTTTTCCTTTTACAGTCTCCTAATCGACGAATCATCGTATTATCATCATCATTATTATTGTTACACGTAGCATAGGCCCCGTTGCTCGTAATAATTGTTTAGATTTTCGATTTGTTCGCTGTCCACCGGACTAATCGTAATGTATATTTTTTACGATGGTTCTCTCTCTCTTTTTTCTTTTCTTATTTTACTTTATTTTATTTTTTTCTTTAAATTGTATGTGATAAGGAGTTGGCGGGAGAAGAAAAAAACAAAACAAAAATTTATTTTTCATTCGTCACGTTGTTATGAGGCCTACATTATATACATTTGACAAAAGTATAATGATGTATTTATATATAGTCTATTTTCTACATTTATATCATATACATATGGATATATACATAGATTTATACATTTGTTTTCTCTTCATATACATTTATCAACGAATGAGTGAACAAAACAGCAGTTACTATCTTGCACGTCTTGCGAGATCAGCGCCGCGGCTGAAAGAACAAACATTTTACGACAACAATCCTTCAGAAACGGAGCATCCATGGGATACCAGAGTTTCAAATTTCTTACTTTTTTTTTTTAGAGGAAGGAAAGGGAAAACGTCATTAGACCTCAAAACAAAATGAAGATCACCAACCATTTTGTGTGGGTAGAGACATACATAAACTATTTTTTTTTTTTTTTTACATCAATCATATTTCGTGGATCTTGTACTGACTTATCACCTAACATAAAAATGGCAGAGATGATAAATTTTTAAGGATTACTCGTCATTTCCAACGTCTATATGTATAGCATTTAACCGACTGTGCCGCTGTGGCTCGTACCTTGCGTGTACATATTGATTTAATTACGATTTTCGATATTATTATGTTTTAAGGTTGCATCATTAATTGTACAAACGTGTGTAATTGTCTTGTGATTCCAGCCTTGTCATTTTAGCTTTAATTTTTTCTTAGCTGATGAAACGAAAATTTGTTTGCTTTCTATTTTTATCTATTAAATTTTTTTTTTTTTTTCCCCCAACAACCTATACACTTATGTTTCGCGGATGTAGGAATGTTTTTTATGGTTGGTGCAACTTCATTCGATAAAAAGGTATGCGATTTACAAGCGGTGCTGACTCGTAAGCTCGAACGTAAGACTCATTCGGACACGCGTGTCTTAATTATTATTGCAACCCTTCCAGGCTTTAAAGTGGAGAAAATCATAAATAAAAAAATGAATAATATAAACATAATGTGACGCTTCGCTGTTGATATGAATAAAAAAAATAAATAAATAAAAAAAAAAAAGATATTTTTCGCTTACGTTTTGTTCTCGTTAATAACGTATCTGTAACTCAAAACAGATGATGGCAGAAGTGGCTGGCACCACAAAAGTATAAAAACGAAAGAAAAAAAAAAATTTGTCGTTTACACGTTACTATATTAAAATCGCAACGCGTACATCCGATGCGTGTGCATGTATTTTTCTTCTTCCTTTCTGCTATGACGTACGTATACGTAATATATTATATATATATACAAACGAATGATAACAATAACAATTACTCTGGTAAAAATATTTCTTACCCGCGCAAAGTATTCGAGAGGAACGGGAACAAGTGAAATCGACGTGACTCCAGTATTATACATATACAACTGAGTTAAACTGACTGATTGTTGAATGATTAACGAAACGGTGAAATTAGATCGTTGTAAGTAAAAGTAGGTAGGTATCTGTTTGTTTGTGAGAATGTGGTGAGGAAGTTTTTCGTTTGGGAAATATTTTTACCAAAACGCGCGTGCCCGCGTATACATATATAGGCGCAAACACGTACACAAAGATGTTTATTATATTATACATTAAAAATATACTTATATGAGATAGAAATGTTTTAAGATTCGGTATGATTGGAGAGAAAAAAAATCACATAACGTGTGATTGGATATCTTTACGTTGGCGAGGAGCTGCTCCCTCGCGATGTACAAAGTGCATATTGTGTAAGATTATATATATATATATATATATATATATATATATATGCGCTGTTAGATATTTAAATATCAAATGTAATGGATGATGATAAATCACCTATATAACGCGCCTGAATATAAAAAAAAAATGAAGAGAAAAAAAGCACTTTTGCTCCTGACAAACATCACGTGATTGACTGAAGGAGAGAAAAATATAGAAGAGAGCATGAAACGTGCGTATCGATGCATATCAGATTCATTTCGTTAGCGAGATGAATTTATTATTTTACTTTCCTTAGGAGAAATAAATTTCCTTCTGTCTTTCCTCTATCTGTATTATTACTACAAATTTTAGTCTATAAAAATGTTGAAAAAAAAATAAAAATAATAATTATTGAGTCCTAAAGTAGCGAAATGTACGAAAATTTCCATCATTGGTCATCTCAAATAATATTAAAAAAAAAATTATTTAAAATTTGTCTTGTTCGTTGACAAATACTCATAATTTGTCAAGTTGTGTTAAAAATTGAAAAAAATTTCATTTCAAAATTTATATTAAGTTATGAAACATTGTTTCATTTTAATAAAAATTAAGTATCGAAATATCACAGAACAAAATATCAATGTAACAAAGGACACCCAATGGCTGTTTTCTACTTCTCATTTTTCGAAATTTTAAGTATAAAGATGTTAGTTAGGCGTGACAAAACAAATGAAAAACTGTAGCACATGATTTTGAAGGTTGTTAATGTATGAAGATAGCGTTGTACAATGTATAGAAATAAAATTTGAGCAATCCTTAGGTCATACCTGCGAGTGGCAATTAGTGGCGCTATTTACAATCAACAAGTAACAAGTTTTTTTTTTTCATTGTATTAAATTGATATATTGTTAATCTCTTCATTAGTTATTGTAAAGTTCGTATTATCTAGTTTAATATTTCGGAGTCAAAAACTGATACCGTTACTCTGAAATTTTGTAAATACCTTTCGTTATTTTTTTTGGAAAGGTCATTAATTATAGCATTTTTAGTTGATCACCAAAAGGTATTACGTCTATAATTTTTTTCAATCGCTCATTAGCACTTGCACAACTCTTGTTATAATTTTTTTATAAATATATGTACTTTTTCCCAAAAAAATAATAATTAAGTTGTTAAAATAGATTTTTTGCGACGATTATGCAACTTGACATTTTTTTATCATGATTTTTTTCCATGTATTGTTATAGAATACTTACAAAAAAGGGGGTGCGGTATCAGTTTTCGATATTGTTGCGTTTGTTGCTATTGTTAAAAATGTACGCACCATTTATAATTCGATGCTTGTACAAATGTCGTAATAACCCTTTTCTATGTATGTTTTTCTTATAAAAAAAAAAAAAAAGATAGATTCTTACAGAATCAGGTGTCAAAAAATCTTTGTAAGCATAGACTCTTTTTGTAACCTAAATTGATATGAAAATAAAAGCATGAAGATAGTCGGAAACTTTAGTCAAAGGTAGTATTCACAAATTTTTTGATCGACAAACTGTTGAAAATCTTGAATTATCGTGAAGCTTTGTCGAAGCTAGCGCATATCATCAAAACGCGTAAATTTTAATGATAAAAAAAAACAATAATAATTATATAGTTGATATACATTTTGCCTCGTCAATTTTTGTCGTAAAGCGTCCAGTAAAACAATTTAGTTGTGACAGAGAATCGAAAGTTGAAAGTCGCAAGAAACGAGTCGAGTTAAAATATATATTTTTGGTCCAAGCAGCGTGTTTTAGAATATCTTTTAGATAGCCACTTGATTATAAATTGACATGGTTGATCTTCAAAGCAAAGTCGAAATACGTTGTAAGCGTCAAGCGTTCATGAAGCTATATACATGTACGTTACTTTTGATGGATTTTAAGAGACACACATATAAACATACATAATTAAAAGTTAGCCTATACTCTAAAAGTGATGTACACTCAACAAAGGTATTATATTATACACGAAACGTATATCTATATATATA